TGCGCCATGTCACCGGGCCACAATTGTTCGCGATTGGTTAGAAGAACATTCTGGACAATTCCAGCGAATGATCTGGCCACCTAGATCGCCCGACATGAATCTCATCGAACATGTGTGGGACATCATCGAGAGGTCAGTTCGTGCCCAAAACCCTGCACCGTGAACACTTTCATAATTATGGACGTCTATAGAGGCAACAGGGCTCAATATTCCTGCAGGGGACTTCCAATGACTTGTTGAGTCCATGCCACGTCGAGTTGCTGCACTTCGCCGGGCAAAAGGAGGACCGACAAAATATTAGGAGGTATCCCATGACTTCTGTCACTTCAGTGTATATGATAGCAAAGCAGTATTTGCAGTTTAGATTGCTATATTTTTAATCTGTAAATCTTTAATTGAAAAAAAAATTAGGATATTTGATTTAAAATCTCGCACATTTATATATAGTTTTGATTTGAAATTTGAATAATGATCTGAGGAATAGTTCTCTAAAAATTTAGGGATAAAAAGTAATTAAAAATATCAGCCAAATTTTTGATTTAAATATGTGAAATAAAAACATATACAAGTGAGCTTTTCAACCAAAATATTTGATTTTACAAAAAGAAAATTTTTCAGTTCTAAAATATACCATATTTCATTCATAAAACCTTTTTTTATTCATCTTGTACCATATCTTTCTACTCTGAAGGGATTTTTCATGTTCTATATTTTCCAAATATTCTTCTATATATATATTTTTTTATTCTCTATGCATCACATTTTTTTATACTGATCTTTCGCAATTATTTTAGAACACATTTCTTCCCCTCTGCAACGATGCTCCAAATGCAACTGTATTTCATTTAAAATTTATCTGTTACACATGTATCTCTTTTTAAAAACTGGATGCGCATCAGTGACAAAAATTAAATAATGTGTAAATCATTGTCACCAGATCAAAGCATCCGGAAAAATTTTAAATTAGACTCTTTAACAGTATAACTTATTTTACTTTTATTTTTTCCTACGCATGAGATACCTAAATATCAAAATCTTGCGTTTGCTGATCCATTTCACAGTCCAGCCTCATAGGAAACGATGTATAGTTAATCGAAATCAAATCAAGCAATTTGTACACTGCGGCTGAATTTGAATTTCTGCTTAACCTACCAAAGGAATAAGGCCTTTTTCTTACAGTTCTCTAGCTGACGGTCCAGGGCCTATTGTTGTAAAACCTTAAGCAGATTCTATGTATAGTACCTGTTCAACGTACTCAATTTTTTTTTTTTTTTTTTTTTTTTTCCGGTTTTTGAACAGCCTCCGGTTTTTCCCCAGCTTTGCTTCCTCGTTAAAAGAAATGTAAGAAAATAAAATAACACAAACAAAAAAGAAAACTGGGGCGGAAACTACCGACTTTCTAAAGCTACTGAAAAGTATTCAATATCCCACCTTACCCACCGACGGAATGCAGACCCTGGTCACCCCGGTTCCATTCATAAGTGACCACCGCACACTGAAGCAGGTGGAATAAAGAAAGAGGCATTTGAGAGTTTCTTTATGACACCGCTGAAGCAGTCTCCCGAACCGACTCTTCTTTAGGGGTTTTATTTTCAGTAGCCTTTTTAAATGGTGCGCTTAGATGACAAGGAATATATATTTTCTCTTGGCAGCCAACAGGAAAGCAGTAGATGGTGTGGAACTCCTTAAGCCATTTTGACTAACCGAAAGATAGCGGGTTCTTGAACCTGGCTTTGTAAGAGCTGGAATTTAGAGCACAAATAGATTCAGTGTTACTATTATTATTATAATTAATTTATTCTTCTTCAAGTTAAGTGGTAATTTTTATTGAATTTATCCATTTGTGGATCATTTAAACTTTGCAAAAATCACCATAAAATTGCCCATTTTCCAAATGAAATATCAATTTATTTTAAATTTATGAACAAATGCAAAGGAAAGGATATTAAAATTTATGAAAAATGAATATGTATAAATCAAGGATGCTACATTTTGGCTTTTCACCTATAGATCTAATAAAATGAAGCTGATCTCTAATGCTTTTATATATGTATAGAAACTTCTGCAGATAATCTATCAATAAATATTACCATACTGTATATTAGAGAGCAATATTTTAAACCGTGTATGTCCAGATAACAATACGATTCCGTTACTACTGTCAACAAATTTGATGTCTGAATTATTAGAAATAATAATCTATTTCAGAATCATTGCTGGATGTGCTAATATTATAATTATCATCCGAAAAACCTATATGACCTGATTCTATAGTGGGTATAATGAAATCTTGTTCTATAACGTGTACAAGCAGAATAAAGAATAATGCTCTTTATTGCATTTATGCGAAAATCACCAAGCTGTGTAAAATAGTGACACTAATTCGATACTAATATGAAAATGTTAAATACTAATCGATTCTAGTTAGAATTACGTCTAGTTTTTTATAATAATGGGAATCACAACCCCTGTCGAATAACGATGTAAAAGATTTTTTTTATGCTATGCGAATATGATTGCAGCCTTACATTCTGTAAAATTACAGCCAGAAATGAAATACCACAGGCACAGAAAATAGTGAAGCATATATCAGTTAATGATGTTGATGGGAGTTAGAAATAAGGTTTTTAAACACTGCTAAACTATTTAATTACTTCGTTAAAACTTTAATGAAAGCAACGAGAATGACAATTTACCTAGACAGATATCTCTTTGAAGCGGTTAAGTGATTTCTCTAGATGAATCTGGAATATACATTGTTACCTTGCTACAGTCACTCATTTCTTCTTTCATTTTGGATGAGAGATGGAAATTTGCCCACAGGCTCCGAATCCCCCTCATATGGAGTTTCAAATATTGCAAATTTCTGCATGCAAGAAACAAGTAGAACTAATTTCACTCAAGCAATAAATTTTATTATATGCTGAGTAACACACGTATAAAATTTTGGCTGCAACGATTTTGGCATGAATTGAAATGTAAGTGAATGAGATAAATTTGTTAAGAGTTTAGATTCTCTAGAGCAAGATTTCTTAGAGAAATTGGCTGTGCGCTCTCCTGTTATCGAAATTAGAACTTCAGATTTCTAAAATAATATACTGACCCTCGTATTATTATTTTTTTTTCCCAATGGCAGGTTGTGAACAGTTACATTGTAACACAGTCCATTAAATCTATACAAGGCCAGATGTGGTGGTCTCTTTATTATGAAGGCACCTAATAGGTGGGCCACCATCACCTCCTATGAAGGAACGGACAGTTACAACCATGCCTTCTCCAGGATTCGAATCCAGGCCCTTCGATATCGCAGTTAGACTTCCCTAACCACTATACCGTCTGGGCGGCCACCCTTATGCTATAGGAACACATAGAAAAAATGTCTTTAATTCTTTGCAAAGTAACTGAATAAATGTCACAAATGAGCTTTAAAGGTTTTATTAGTTCTTTATCCATTTCATAATAAAAGAGGCATTTATTCTTTGGTATGAGCATAAAAACTTACGATTAGCAATAAATTCACTGATTTTTTTATAAAATATTTTTAATAATAAATTACTAGTATCTGAACAAGTCAAATACCGCTTTGTTTCTTTCATAAAAGAATTTATCAATCGTATTTAAGTTTTATGCAGTCTGCGAAGGAAGGAAAACAGTATTTAGGAGTAAACAGAATTTCAGGGATTAATACAAGGAAAACACCAAGCAGGGGTTTCCATACTAATTTTTGTAAATTAGCTGTGTGCCGATTTTCATTGCGTTCAATTAGACATAATTGGGGAAAATATGAGCTATTTTTGACTGATTTTTAAGATCGATACAGAATGGAGCTCAACTAGAAAAATCATTTTCTAGAATTATTTTAATTACGCCAGAAGGGATCAGGTACTTATTTGGAATATTTTAGAGCGGAACATTTTTGCATAAAAATCATTAATGTTATTAGACAATAAGTATTTATGCACTATGATTTTCAATCTGAGTACATTCTTATTACTTCCTCGTAGGAAGTAAAGGATGTAGTGTAATTACAAAACATTTCGGGTAATGCAGAAATAATCATTGCTGATAAAGCAGGCCTAACACTCTCGTTGACAGAGAATTAACAGAATATTTGCAGTTAAATGTACGTAATGAGACTGCTTCTATTGTATTATTTCTAAGACAGCAATGTTACCTTTAAAACATATATTGAATTGTTATTCACTGTTTAGTGCTAAAAATCCCTCTGAAGTATAAGAAAATTAATTTTTTACATCCTACAGAACACATATGAAGTACCTTACAAATTATTATTGTGTTTATTCTTCGCTTAAATCAGTAGGAAAAATAATCTCCAGACCTCGAAAATAAATGGTGCAAGACCAAGAAAGCGAAATAATGGATCGAAATCTTGAGCACTACTTAAGAAAAAATTTCAGAGAAAGCAATCAGACTGTTGCCTGTTGAAAAGAATTAAAAAGAATATTCATGTGTTACTTTAGAAATTCAAAGCTTATGAGAAGAATGACTTGAGAAAATATTAACAAATGTACTTTAAGATAACCATGATAACAGTCCTTACTCAAAAAGTGCTTTTTCATTTTAAGTGAGCCATGTATTACATTTTTCGTTCAGAGGGGAGTTACATCAGTAACAGAATAAATGGAGTGTAAGGAGGAATGTTGAAGGCACTCATGTCGCGCTTTAAATTGTTTAAAATTATAAGTTCTAAAACTGTAGTTTAAACAGGTAAGCAGCAAACACCTAGGAGTTGATGATGTCAGAAATAAAATTAAATAAATTAAGAATAAAATCAGTCCTCTTTCTCACGATTTGGAATTTATATGATTACAAAATATGTACTTTGCGAGTCCAATATGGTATCCGAGGCCAACTGATTGGTGGGCCCAGCGGGGGGGAGCGAAAAGACCCGCGATTGGTGTCCCGAAGTTGCGGAGCGACTAGGTGCGCATAAGAGGAGCTGCCTCCACTCTAGTGGTGACGGTTGGGCAGGATGTGATTCTCTTCCACCCCGTGAAACTAACCTCCGCTCCGACGTCGCGCACGTGGTTTCGTTTTCTCGCCAGTTACTCCTCTGCCGGCACAGTTTTTTGCACGGCAGCAGGCTCGGCATGTTCCAGAGAGATGAGCTTTCTTCACACTATTTGTAATTCTCTTCACCCTTCTTACGAAATCTGCTCACATCTGTCATTTCAGAAAATCTGGGAAGTTTGAATGTCGCTCCAAAATGATAAATGAACTCTTTCAATCGCTCAGACAGAGACTAAAAAAATGAATCCTAAAACTATTCTTCGTATGTCATATGAAAATGAGGATTAATCTAGTAACGAACCAAAAGTAGATATAACATTGTGAGTACGTCATGCCCCGCGCATTTCTGATTAAGAAACATAGCCCCGGTAAAGAAGTGACGGGTGGAAAAGCAAAATCATTTATTCCGGAAAAATCAAAATGTGAAAGGGAAACAGATCCGGTCACTAAAAGAGCTTTTGTGGATTTTTCACAGACAGGTGAGTTTTTATATTATTTTTTGAAATCTGTGTTACGATGCGCTTTAATTTTGAGGGATTTTTCTTATTTTTTGGTTTCTAAATTAAGTAATTTTTACGGCAATAGTTTTATGGCAGTTTATATGAATGTACTGAATGCATGTTCGTCTTTTATATGCACTGAATGCATGTTCGTCTTTTATTTCCACAATTATTTACACTTTGTGGGTATTTTGCACATGAAAAATAAAATTTCAGTTTACTGAACATTCTGCCAGTAGACAGACCGAATCTGCCAATTTACTGCCAAGATACTTCTTTAAGTGTAGGAGTTATTAACTATATGTATAAGGGAAATCATTGAAGAATAAAAGTAATAAATTAAATAGTACCATTCATAATAAAATACGAAATATTATCCAAACGAATAGTTCATAATTATTTTGATTAATAAAATAGAAGTTCTCATTTTGAGATGTTAAGAGTAAAAAAATACAATATTCTACAAGATTTTTAATTCGATATTTTAGCTGACAAGGACATGGGATTATACGTTTCCTCAGTCTGTAAAACATAACTAATCAATCCAATAGCTTCTCAGTTTTATACTTAATGAAAAGCTATGCTTTAAGAAAGTAATAAATCTTATTCATAATATTACATAAAATTCATAAATGCTGTGCAGCTATGTAATAGAATGAAGAATAATTTTAAAGCGAATTGGACAAACGAGAGATTGATGTGGTCAAATCATACCTTCGTTCACCATCTTCGCAAGGTTACTGTAAATATGAGTTTTTGGAAAAAAAAAATTGTTTTAAGGAAGTGAGTACATCTGTTTTTCATTTATAATACAATAAAGAAGTTCGAATTTTGAAGTCGATATTAACGAAGAAAATTCTTGCACGAATGTGTTTCTAAAAATTTGTAGTGGAGATTCAATTCTTATTTGCTGACTTCAAAGCAACCTCCAGACTTTTATTTCAATTTCTCGTGGACCCTTGGTTTATGGCAGAAAAGTCACGTATAAAATTGTTTGATTTTTCCAATGAATGGTTTTCGAGCTGACCTCATATACTGGAAGGCAAGTATGCACGTAAATATTGCCGTAAAAAGTGTCGACTGTACGTGCGATTAAAAGCCTCTAAATATACAATTTTCTCCAACCGCCGATTTGTTCTAGTTATGGAAGAAGAAAATAAAAACAAGAAAGACATATGTTGCAGATTTTCTCATCACTATCATCCTTGAATCCTACAGATTAAAATGCTTTATGACGAAGAGAAGAAATTGAAATATTCGCAGTAAATCTTGGAATTGTTTGCTTTATTCGTCTGAAAATAATTCGTATGTGAGCAAAGAAGATTTTCGTTAGTAATCTGATCACTACATTGCAATTTCTTTAGGGAGAATATGGGAAGTTCGTATAATGATGAAGAAAAAAAAAATTAGAATGAGAAAACGTAAAGTAATGTAAAGCACTACTTTCTATGCGGCTGTTTTTGCAACTGATTTCACTCTCCTTTTAACGGATTAGAAAATATTCTAAGAACGATTATTTTTTAGCACTATATGCTAACAGGAAAGCTGTCGAAAATTTTTCCGACAAATCAGGTTGTAAGATTTAAAATCTATCTCTTTCTTTTTTTCCCCCTTTCTTTCTTTCTTTCCCTCCCCCTTTTTTGTGAGTGTATGTGTGAATTGATACGTAGTGTATTTTATTGAATGAATTTAATGATTATAAATAGCTTATCATTCCTAAAAACTGATGTATTTGTCAGAGTGTAACTTTTACCAGTGCATAACGTGATCAGCCGTAGAAACAAATGTGCCGAGTGAGACTTGCTTAGGATTGGAGTTGAAACTAAACATGAGTTCCTCGCAAGTTTAGTTAGTTTATTTTCTTACACAGTAAAGCACGCGAGGAGCTATAGGGGCTTAGGATGCTTTAGGAGAGAGTTACCTTAATGAAGGGCATTTTAAGACAAAGCTGCTTGCATTTATGAATAAAATTTAGTCTGCGGTGCTTGCGGAAGTTACGCTCGATTCCAATAAAATGTATTGTGCCTAATCAATCTCGGCAATTCATTTTGAAATTGAAGAAATGGCAGTAAATTTAACCGTTTCCCTTTGGATGCTTGAAAGAAAAATCTATCTCTTTAAGTCACTTTATACTGGGTAAAGAAATTCAAACGTACTGTACACTTCAAGGTGAAGATTAAATGTGAATTTAGTCTTTTGATAGTATACTTTATTAAAAAGAAACGACAGTGAAGTTAACATTGAAAATTCATTCAAAATAATACTTAAAAATCATTTTTAATTATTTACATTTTTCATGATGGAGGCTAAATATATGTTTCTTTACGCACTCTATTAAAATGTACAAATTCTTTGTTAAAAACTATTTGAAAGTTTTAAAAATTTTCTTTGCTTAAGATAATTATTAACTTTTTTTGGTACTAACTATTTTCGTTTCTATGACGTTTTTATCTTGATATTAAGAAAAAATTAATATTTAGATTGTAGTTTCTCATTCAACAAACATTCAGATCCGATTTCTATTAAAAAAAAGGCTAACCGTGAGAGCTTGTCCTTTGTATTGTGCTCGGGTGTTACCAGGCTTCCAAAGCATACTTTCGGAGGATAATTTTCTAAGAAAACTGGATTGTATTTACGTTACTCGCGAGAAAATCATGAAAATATACATGTAGCCAACTCGTTCGCAACTTCAGCGTCTAGAAGCCATTTTAAGCAGTGAGTTCAGGTCACTGTATAAAAAATAATAGAATAATAGAATCTTAGATTCCTATGAATCTAGGAAATACTCTACAAAAGGACATTTCGATATTCGAAGTGTGATGGTTGGGGCTCTGTTTACCTGTTGTGTTGTTATACAAAACGAACGTATTAGAACTGAGATTGGGAAGGTAGTCAGTCCTACAGTCTAATAACTTACATTTTAAATCTGATATTGTTTGACCACTTTTAATTTCCAATTGGCGAATTATTGCTTTAAAGGAACTTAAAATGAAATAACAGCACATATAAATAAGCGGTGATTATGATATTTATTGATGACTCATAACCTATTAATCAGTAATAGATATTTTGATTATTGTTTATAGCGCATTAGCTAATAAATAACCTGTTAGATATAGCAACTAAAGGTAACTGCAAATTAATAGTTCGCAGCCATAAAAGTTAAGTGCAGGTTAGATAACTGACCATAAGTATACGTAAACAGCAATTATTTCAGCCCCTGAAACTTAAAGGGATAATCTGTCAGCTAACACTTGTCAACAAAGTTAAAACAAAACTTACTTACCTGCTGGTAATATTACTTTATTCCCTCCTTCATTTACTTGACGTCGTTCAGTCGTGCAAGGGGCAGATGAAAACGCTTGAAATGGTAGCTGCTAAACATCGAAAAATGAGAATGGAAAAGGAAGAGCAACAAAATATTAAAGGTAACATTTATTTAACATAATTCTTATTAACAGGAGTTAATAAAAATTTTAATAAAACCACTCGAATTGGATAACGTTATAGTATGTTATACAGTTCTACCTAACCTAAGGGCTCTTAAATTGGGATTAGCACGTGAAATCTAAACTTTCACAACTTATTAAAATTTTAGTTACATGAATTATTTCAAACTCTTCACTAAACGTTTTATTTAGATTCCAATGTTGCTATAGATTGACGCGTTTCTTAAGACTGATGCAAATTCGTAGCATATTACATGCAGATATAGCCATTTAGCAAGCAGTGTTTCTTGAAATTATTTTTAAAAATTATTTTCGATTTCCCTTACGAATTTTTTAACTATTGTATCAATATTTCTTTCTTTTTAATTGTTAACATAGAGTGCAAAGTATTTCCATTCACTTCAGTATAATTCTGAGTGACTAATATGAAAATACTTAGAGAAGGAAATAAAAAGTATTTTAGAGTAAAATTAAGTTACTTTAGTGCGTAAACTCGCATTTTACATTTTCTTTTGCTTTCATTTTAATTACATAGCATTCATTATTTTTTAATTAAAAAAAGAAATGATGCATAAAACTATTTATTTCTAATTAATAAAGAAAAGAATAAGCGTCCTCACTTGTACATGCATTTTTAACAACAAAAAATCCTCATTAGCTATTCAGAGCCTACAAAAACTCGAATATCAGGTTGAATTAGCTCTTAACACCATTTTATTATTTAAGTTTTCCAAAAGCAAAGTTAAATGCAAATTTTCTGAAATATTTAAGGATGAAAAAATGTTTACTCCACATGCATGATTAAAATGATCATGAAGCTATGCATAGTATTCTACTTCCTGCCTGTTGCATGCTTCTGTTGCTCTGGAATTTATCGTAATTGCTCATTCAATCTATTCAAACTATCTAATTCTGGAATGAAGTTTTTTATGGCGAAAGATACTTCAACTCTTCAGAATTAATCTTATTTTACAAATACAAAAGTACAATACAAATTACATAACAAAATCTAAGCTATGAGACCAATTTTCAAACAGAAGCTCCTTCTTATTGAAACTTAGAAATATAAAAGTATGTATCAGTTAAAACCTCTCTGAATAATTCAAATGTTATTACAACCAAACTACTAACTGACAATAAGTATGTTAGAGTTAGTATTAGTTGTTTCACGTTATTGCGATTTCGAAACCTCAAAAGTAGATTTTCTCCCTGTTCTCCTCCGTTATACCGCTTAAAACATTTAATCTCAGATTCGATTTCATTTCTTTCATAACGTTTAAGTTAGGTTGAGTGGGTGTCGGACCTGCCGATCGCCAGTGGTCCTAAAGTATAAAGGAGTTCATTATCCCAGAGGGAAAATATTCTAATTTTTAATCGATACAGTTCTAAGTTGAAACCAGTACTGCATTTCAGCGGGCAGCAGAAAACCAGCAGAAATGCGTATCCCGCAATTTCAAAATTCGGCAATGAAATCTAAATGTTTTATTTAATTGTGCATCCTGTTTTTGCTCATTTCTGCAATTACCTTCT